GAAAATATGGTTTTAAAAGAAAAAAATCGGTAGTAACTATTATACTGGTTCAGAAAATGAAGAAAACAAGTAAGGTTATTTGCAATTCAGTTCTGCGATAAGAAAACGGCCCACGTTTCAACACCCTGCGGTATTGCCAGACTTAAAAAATAATATAGAAAGGGAAAACAAAGTAGTCATTACTAGATACATAAAAACTAAATAGCTTTAAAAGGAGAATTGATCTCCGAAGAGTCGAACTGGATTCATTCTCCTATTATAGGCCAAAACAAAATAATTACATTAAAACTATTTTTTATAAAATACAATATGTTAAATAAGTAAGTAAAATGGAATGGGAACACCAAATTCCAAAATCAAATAATATTCAGAGTTATTTTCTCAAGTTAAAGGAGAATCTTCCTCAAATGAGAATCTACCTCATATGCGGAAAGTAAGAAAGTCTGGCCTGGCCCGAACTCCTCCACTGTCGCTTAAAAACAGAAAAAACAGTATTTCCTTAAATGAAATTAGGATAAACGCCGCTAATAGCGCATCCCATTGTGCCTCAACATCGACATGTCTATCAGAACAAAACCAGCACGACAAACAGAAGCCACTGAACAAACTCGTCAGCATGATGATGATATAGGTTGGACGTTAATTCCAAATAAGAAGCGTCAGCGATCAGAAGCTAAACTAAAGCTAAAAGAAGCTAAAAATAAAATTAAAAAGCTAAACTACTATTCATGATTATTGGACCCCTTAGCTACTGATGATATACAAGAAGAAAATAAATATGACGAATCCAAACAACCTCCACCAATATTCATTCAGAATACCGAAGGGAATCCACAGAATAATGTTTTCAACTTTATCGCTAACATTACTGAAAATATATTTTCTTAGACAAGACCCCACTTCTTGAGCTCCACGGCCTGCCTGTACTTCAAGTCATAAATGTAACGTGGAATTTTTGCTTACCTGCATAAATTCCGCAATTATATACCCATAACTGTCGTTTTGAAGGAATAGGAAACCTAGTAATACGAGAATGGATAGAAAATTAGATAAGAGCGATAACATGAGAGATATAAAGTGACGAGAATGGAAAGAAAATAAGACAAAAACAACACGAGAAAGATACAGATGGTTACTAGACGGGAACAAAAAGAGTAGGTAAGAGTAATTATATCCCGCTGTCAATACTAAAAATACTACATAATATACTGTTACGATAAAAATATTATGACTCATAAAAACTGTAAACATATTCTTTCTAATTCCGATTCTAGATTGTCAGCCGGCAGAAATTCCAGGTAATACCTAACTGGTCTCATACGATTCAAAGGTTCCAGAAGCAGATCGAATGAAAACCAGTCCGATTGACCTTCTAGTCTAGCCAAAAGGAATCGCCGGAACTCTCGAATAACGGCATTCTATATAAATAGGGGAACCTTTTATTTAAGGACAATTAGCTAATCTGAAGATAATACCGCGTCGAGTTTTTAAATGTAACGCGTTTATTTTAATAAATGTGTGAAATAAATTAGTTATATTGTACAAATAAAGACTTAAAAAAACTTGTGTTATAAATGTGTACAAAAAAAAATTTGATAATAAATAAAGACAATAAATTAGATTAATAAAAACAGTTGTTTGGTGTCAAAAGTGGAATAGTAAATAAATAGTGAAAATCACTAAGATTTATGAGCTCACAGTTACGGATTTAAGAAGACATCTCGAGGACAGAGAATTAGCTTCTACCGGGAAAAAGGCTGATTTAATCCAACAACTGAAAAACGCTTTACAAGAAGAGGGTTTGGATCCGGAAACTTATATATTTGAAGATGCTGTCATCTCGTGGATTTAAAAATTAGAGAACAAAGTTTCTGGCGATATTTCGAAAGTTTCCGGCGACATCGCTTCTTTAGAAAACAAAGTTTCTAACGAGATTTCTTCTCTGGGAAGCAAAAGTTTCTGCTAACATCTCTTTGGAAATCTTTAAAGTCACTTCTGAGATGTCTTCCCTCGACCATGAGTGTCTTCGTTAAAAAACCAAGTTGCTGCCGATATGTTGGTCTTCGAAGAAAATATGAAGGCAATGGAACGGAAGATTGAGAAAACAGAGACAGCAGAGAGAGGAAACAATCCAATTACAGTAGACAAAAGAAGACGAGACGAAATTTGGAAACACGGCCGAAATTTGAAGGAAGTGGAGGTTTTGTTCCTGTTAAAGTCCCAACTTTTGACGGAAAATCGTCATGGAACATCTACATGAAACAGTTCGAATCAGCTACACGAGCGAATGGATGGTTTGAAAAAGAAAAGGCTGTAAACCTGACTATCGCTCTTCGAGGAGATGCCTTAGATGTGCTTCAGATCATAGCCGTAGAGGAGACCAATAATTTCGAACAACTCAAGAAGAGGTTAAATATGCGATATGGCCATGAACATTTGGAACATGTATATCAGTCGCAGCTTAAAAATCGAAGACAAAAGAGAGGTGATGTTCTTCAAGAATATGAGGTAGATATTGCCAGATTGGTACGATATGCTTATCCAATAGCTCCCGAAGACATGATGGAAAAATTTTGGCCGCTCAAACATTTATTGATGGTGTTCGTGATTATGAAATGCAGAGAACACTGCGATTAGCTCATCACAAGACGCTGTTTGATGTCTTATCCACGCGCTCGAATACGAGTCAGCTACACAGGCCTCTGGCATGTAAAATAGGAAATCATGAATATAAATTTGACTAGCTCGTTAAAATGATGAAAAGTATTACATACAAGAAAACGAAGACCATAAGATGATGGAATTGTTGCGAAATAGGACACGTACGAAGTTCATGTAAGCACCCTAGGTACGACGCAAATCAAGAAACTCACCATCAGAAAAACTAGAAGGGTCGGCCTTAGGGGACAGCTTCGACCCGGAACTATTCCAAAGATCCTCTCATACTAATAGCTTCTTTGAAATGTCGTGAAGATAGTGTATATGTAGATCGACAAATAAATGGTAAAAGGCATACGTTGTTGGTGGATACCGGAGCGACCAGAACCATTATACGCCCAACAGTTATAAACAGCCGTAAGAAACTGTTGCCAACGAGGTTGCGACTTCAGACCGCTACAGGTGAAAATGCCAACATTAATGGGAGAAATCCAGGTACAATTAGGAATTGGAGCAGAAAAGTTCGTCCATACTGTTATAGTTGCTGACATCGAAGATGATGTTATATTAGGAATGGACGTAATGAATATGCATGGATTCCAACTGGATTTTAAGAATAAGTTAATGAAAGTTTGTAACGAAAAAGTATTTCTTTATCCACATGATGACAACACTGTACAGGCAGCCGTTAAAGAAGATACAGTCGTGCCTGCGAGAAGTGAAACGATCATAGTAGCGCGGTTACAGAGATTTGTGAACAAAGGGACACATGTTATGATGGAGCCTTAGAACCATGACGAGGTTGGCCGAGGAATCATAATTGGAAAGGAATTGGTGACTTCGGCTAAAGAAATACCTGTGAGGCTTATCAATGTCATTGACTACCCAGTTACCATCAAGAAAGAGACAGAAGTAGGAACTTCTGTACCTGTGACATCCATAATCCGTCAAACAACAATATCAGATAATTCCAACGACAAATTCGACCAAATGGTTGCAGTTGGTGGACAGTTTCTAAATCAGAAGGAGAAAAGAAAATTCTGGGAATTTCTCCGGCGGTATCGTGATATTTTCGTACCGAAAGGGGGAAAGACGGGAAGAACTACCGTTGTTAAGCATAAAATTGATACTGGTAATGCTAAGCAAATTCGTCAAACAGCTCGACTATTACCACAGGCGAAAAGAGGAAACGATTGTTCAGAACATGAAGAAAGACGGGGTGATAGAACCTTCTACGAGCCCATGGATCTCTCCGGTGGTCCTGGTTAAGAAGAAAGACGAAACGACGAGGTTCTGTGTGTATTACCGTTTGCTGAACAACGTTACCACGAAAGATAGTTATCCTCTGCCTCGGATCGATGGCCAGTCGAATGGACCCAGTAGATAAAGAGAAGACAGCCTTCACCACAGGATCTGGATTGTGGCAATTCAGCGTTATGACATTTGGACTCTATAATGCTCCTGTGACATTTGAGAGGCTTATGGAAAATGTGTTGAGAGGGTTAACTTGGAAAACATGCCTGGTTTATCTAGATGACATAATCGTCATTTGGGGTAGTCATGTGTAACACTGTGTGGTATGACACTTTTGTGCTGATACTTTGCGGTGCGTCATGTGTATTGACACCGCAACAATAAAGTGTCGTATGATACAGTAACAGTGTCGTAACGCCCCGAGTGTTTTCGGCCCGAGCAATGCAATGCACCGCAATAGTGCGGTGATACAAGATACAAGATACAAGATACAACAAAAAAAGTCAACACGAAAGATGTGAATCTTACCCAAACGACAGTGTCTTTCAACTGCGTTCACTATTTTGTATTTTACCTGGTTGCCACGTTTTATATATTTTTACAGATTCTACAGATAATTTTAAATCTTAAAAAATAAATTTGAATATATTTCTGTTTATGCAGATAAAATGGCTAATAAAGAAAAAAACTTAAAAAACAAATAAATAAAATTTCAAATCTAGGTCCAAACAACAAAACAAAAAATTTGAAATTAAAATTATTATTGTTTAAATATTGTTTAAATTTGTTATAGTTTAAATAATTATAAATAAGCTAACTTAAAAAATAGTGAAGAGATATTAAACGCTAAAGAAAGAATAAAGATGCCTACATAAAAAATCTAAATCTAGGTTAACGCAACAAAACAAAAATTTTAAAGTAAAAAAATATACACCTACTTATTCGTTATTGTTTAAGTTATAACTTAAAAAAATCACTTGAGATATTTTATTCGTTTTTAATCTCTCTCGTTTTTCGTTGACTATCTGTCCGGCTTTAGAAAATATCCTTTCACACGGGACAGATGTAGCCATAATACAAAGCCTAGTCTACATAATTTGATATAATTTTGGGTAGGTCTGCTTTCTTTGGTGCCACCATAATAGAGGATCCTGGGATATACCGAAGCTATCTTTCCTGGGTAAAATGATCTCTTCTAAATATTTGTCTACCTCAACAATGGCTGATGCTGTTGGGTTGCTTGGTTGTTGGTGCTGTTGAACTTCATTGTCAAAATCTTTCCATAAATTTTGAAGTAGATATTCCTTATACGGTATATTTTGAATTGGTTGTTCAATATTTTCCTCTTCGTTTTCTTTTTGTGTGAGTAATTTTGTGTTGGCTACCTTTCTGTACAAAGCCTCTACTGCTTTGAGATACTGTCTTTGGCCTATGAAACCAAATTTTTTAAATCTGGGGTACAAGATTGTTGCTTGAGCTATTAAACTATGTTCCTCTATATCGGAAAATCTTTGTATTAGTTCAAATTGCAGCTTTTTTACCATATTTTGAACATGAGGCATCATTGTATTTATGTCAAATGAATTCATGTGTTTCGTAATTTGTGTGTAATAAAATATTATTGACGAAGCACTAACTTTTTGCTCAGAACTTATGGCAGTTGTAACTAAATTAAAAATTTCAAGAACTTTAATGGACTGTTCAGCAATAGTCCAGTCTTCGTTTTGTAGAGGCTCAACATATTCTGTAACTGAACTATTTAAAACTGTCAAAGTTGATATGATTGCATTTTTCATCTGTAAAATTCTCTTAATCATATCAAATATGAAATTCCATCGCGTAACTACATCATTTTTTAACTTTAGTGATGGTATATCCATTCGCTCTGCTGTCGCTTTCAATTAAGCTAATGCATGGCTACTTCGTCGAAAACAGCTTACAATATTTTTTACTTTTTCTACTACTTCTCTAATTTCCTTTAAAGCTGATTGGGTAACGAAGTTTAGGGAATGAGCAAAGCAACCCCAAGATTGCCAACCACCAATGCGCACAGCAGCTTTTATATTTGACGCATTATCGGTAACAACGGCAGCAATTCTGTTGTCTAGTTTCCACTCTGCTATCAGACGTTGAATTTTGTTTTGAATGTTTTCAGCAGTATGTCGCCCCGCATAAGATACACATCCTAACAGATCTGAGGATAAAAATATTTTTTTATACTCTTCTATTACGTAATGCGCGGTAACACTATAAAAACTCTCATTTGAACGTGACGTCCAACCGTCATGTCAGTCGTGAGACACACTGCGTAAGCTCTTTCCACCCGTGTTTTAACAAGATCAACTGTTTAATTATACAAAGCTGGAATCATTGAGTTTGAGATAGTTTTTCTGGTAGGAGCCTTATAATTTGGATTTAATAAAAATAATAGTCGCTTAAACTCCTTATCGTCGACAATACTAAATGGATGGTATTCCTTTGTAATCATAACAATTAATTGTTGGTCTATTTCTTTTTGTTTGCTGATAGCCAGAGGTCTTTGGAAAAAACCGGTTATAGTTTGACGTTTCTTTAATATACTAGACGAGGTAGAAGTTGATGAATGGGGTTGCACTATCGATGATGTAGATTCAACAAGTTCTAATGTTGTAGGTTGTTTTGAAGTGGAAGGTTGGGCATCATTTATGTTCGATTCTTTGCATTTTGATTTGCTGCATTGGTTGTATCTGATGCATGTGTCTAATTAAAGAAGAAGTTGATTTATTTTTGACAGATAATATTTGCCCACAATACAAACATTTGACTTTATTTTCATTCTGTTTCCATCCAAAAATACATCCAAATTTCAGTTTTTTTGGTGCCATATTAATGTGTTATCCAAAAATCTAAAAATATAACAAACGTTACATACCTCACCAAAGATGTTATCACTGAAAACTGTACCTTCAATCTAGAGAGAAGCGGCAACTTATTTGAAATGTATCTAAGATTATTTTATTTATATGATGATTATTAAAAAGGAATAATGTAAAACGATCACAAAACCACACACAGTACACAGATACAATGAACTTGAACTAATACTAAAATAATGAAATCTGTACTTATGTGATGTAAGTAAGTTGGTTGTCAACCCCCCGACCAAGGAATTGTATCGCAAAGATAAGTACTGTGTTGCCAATTCAGCATAGGCAGACTGAAGATGATAACTTTTGAGTTAACATATTGAATGAATCAGTTCATCATTCCTCAGTGTGAAATTCTCAAAACTTAAGTAATTCATATATTTCTGTAACAGTGAGGTTCAAATAATTATTCAAACGTTTTAAAACTATTAAAATAATTTTGTCTATCTTCGAGACCGAATCTCTTCTTCTTTCTGTCTCTTTCCCACCTTATGTAATCCCTTTGATTGTCAGTTTTCTTGAGGCTTATCTATCTACAATCGCTCTTATTACTTTGATTTATATCCCACGAAAATATCGCATATTTTTCTCCATAATTTTTTTCACTCTTTTAGCTTTTTCTGCAAATCTCGGACAGCTGTCAAAAAATGACAACGTCGCAGTATATCTAACTAGTTCATCAATCAAACATCAACAAAGTAACAAACACATTTTGAGTTTTCAACCTGTCTGATCTATTATAGCTTTGTGTCCTTTGTTACCAAAAAGGTTTTATTTGTAAAAAGATCAACTCTCGGTCAGTCTCGCACAGCTATTAAGTAAATGCAAAACAGATGTTACAGCTCAGGGAAGGTTTCAAACTTTCAGGTAGTGTCAATGGCTTACTGTGTTATATGACACAATTGTGTTGACACACTGTGTTGATACAATAAACTGCGTCAGTGTTGCTGTATCAACACCCAAAAATTTAGTGTGTTACCCATCGTTAATTTGGGGGGAGACATTTGAAGATCATCTGAAGAATTTAGAAAACGTTTTTAATCGGCTTAATCTGCCCAATTGATGTTAAACCCCAAGAAGGGTCAGCTATTTCAACGTAAAGTCAATTATCTGGGTCATGTAGTCAGTAAAGCAGGAGTGGCCGTGGATAAAGGAAAAATCGATTTCATTAACGAATGGCCAGAACCAACCGACAACATCAAGTGAGAAGTTTTCTTGGACTATGTACTTACAGAGGAAGCAAGAGATTACCGCTGGGATACAGACTGCCAAAATGCCTTAAGGCCTTAAAAAAGCATTTAATCACAGCACCAATTTTAGGGTATCCACTGCCAGAAGGAGAGTCCATCTTAGATACAGATGCAAGTAATGTGGGAATTGGAGGAGTGCTGTCTCAGATTAAAGGACGACAGGAACGAGTCCTCGGATATTTTAGTAAAGTTCTTTCAAAACCTGAGTGGAATTATTGCGTCACGAGAAGAGAACTTCTAGCAGTAGTGAAATCATTAGAGCACTTCTATCAATACCTCTATGGAAGGAATTTTTAATCCGAACCGACCATGCCACCCTTAAGTGATTAATGCAGTTTAAGAATCCAGAGGGTCAGATAGCTAGATGGATCGAACGACTCAAAGAATACGATTTCAAGATTGAGCACCGGGCCGGAGTTAGCCACAGAAACGCTGATTCTCTTTCCAGAAGGCCATGTCCAGCAGAGTGTTCCCACTGCAACAAAACGGAATCCAAGAAAGTAGCAGTGCTAAGAACAACGATGGTCAACGACGACTACACGCCTACTAAGATAAGGGAAGAACAAGAGACAGATCCAGTTGTACAGAAAATTCGAAAATGGAAAGAGGAAAACCGTCGACCACCTTGGCAAGAAATATTAAACTTATGGTCAGTAGTTAAGACGTATTGGGCCCAGTGGGACTAATTTATCATGGAAGATAGCTTGTTTAAACGATTGCTGCAAAATGATGACGGTTCAGAGAAGAGAAGACAGTTGGTGATCCCAAAGAGCAGAATAGCCGAAGCACTTCGTCAGTTACACGACAGTCCATCAGGAGGGCATTTCGATGTAAAGAAAACCCTTCAGCGAATTCTAGAACGGTTTTATTGGATGAACAGTTCCGACGACGTAAAAGACTGGTGTAAGAAATAAGAAGAAAGTTGATTAAAGAATATATCAGCCGATTTTGAGTGCCTTTGGAGATTCATAGTGACCAAGGAAGTAACTTGGAAAACGATCTATTCCAAGGAATATGTGATAGACTAGGTATGAAGAAAACCAGAACTACAGCATATCATCCACAATCGAATGGTATGGTAGAACGGATGAATAGGACAGTTGGCAAGTATTTGAACAAGATGGTGTCCGATCATCAGCGAGACTGGGACCAATATCTTCCGTTTTGCGCAATGGCCTACAGATCTGCTGTTAACGAATCGACAGGCCAGACCAGCCAGAGTCCTATTCGGACGCGAGATGCGACTACCTTGTGATCTAGATTTTAGGAGTCGCTGGAGAAGATGTAGCAGGTGAAGATTATGTGATCGAACTACGAAGAAGAATGGACGATGTACACGAGTTGTTTTGTTCCCACCTTCAGGTCGCTAGCGACCGAATAAAGAAACGGTACGATACGTAAGCTGAAAAGGGGTGTTTTAAGAAGAACGACAAAGTCTCACTCTATAATGCCAAGAAGCGAAAAGGTTGTTTTTCCAAGTTGCAGCAGTTTTGGGAATGTCCATACCTCATTATGGAGAAGATCAACGATGTCATCTACCGAATAAGCAAGATTCCGAGGGAAAAGCCGATGATAGTAAACCATAACTGACTGAGGTCTTTCGAAGGTGACCATGACGTCAATGAAGAAGTGGAAACCAAGTCCAAGATGTGTCTGACCTCACGTTTGAGGAATTCATGGGGTACCGGTAAAGCAAGACATGGTATTACCACTGAAGAAAAGCAAGATCTACTCGCGCTTTTCAATGACTACTCAATGGCCCTTCCCATCCCGGCCAGTATCAAAGACGCACCAGGGTTGGCATCCGTCTTTCGAAGAAAGCTCGGTCGAGTTGCAGAACTTTAATGCCAAGTGCCAGCTCCCTAGAACGCCTTGAAACTCCAAGATGCATAATGTTACCTTTTCTACCTGGTAACAAAAGACACTGCCCGTGACCAACCTACCTACCGAGATCTATGGGAAGCCTTACTTCAATTGAGAGAGCACGTACTAAAGTCCGACGTGCAAAAGTTAGCTATGCCAAAGTTGGAGTGCTGCCAATTAGATTGGAGGGTTATTCATTTTTATACAACTAGAATTGTAAAAGAGGGTCCAATTGTCGGTACCAGCATACCGTTCCAGTTCCAGTCCCGACAAGGTTCCAGGAGGAACCATCTTTTAAGAGGGGGCAATGTTACAATAAATAGTGACTCATATCTAAACTGTAAACATCTTTTTCTAACAAGTATTTTCTAGTAGATTCTCCACTCCGGTAAAAAAACTGTCTGCCGTTCCATCCTATTCGGGAAGGGTCAACACATCGGATCTAACTTCATCGGTTTTACCAATGAACCTTAACGACATTCATATCAAAAGAACTACTTGTAATTGTTTCGGCGCTTGCGTTCTATGAAAACAGAAGCTCACATTCAAACTTTACAACAATTAAAAATTTAGTTATTGCCGACAATTCAAAGAATTACTTCCTTTAAATGTAGTTACATTGGGTTTTTCTATTGTCCTTGGGTAAACCTTTGCGTTTTAAGTACAAAGCTGCCATACATTTCCAACGTTCACAAATAAACTTTTTTGCACATAGTAACAAAAAAACACCACTATGTTGTTACTAGCTAAAGTTTTTTAACATCATAACTCGACATTTCTAAAATTTCACGGTAAGGTAAAAGTTTTTTATTAGATAATATATGGTAGCTAATTATAATTTATTCTCTTTCAGCCCTGAAGAAGCCAAATTCTCTTTGGCGAAAACGTTAGGTGAAATAATTGATACACATTAGAGTTTTTTTGCAGATTTCCCCAATATTTAAGAGTTTACTATTTAACTTATCTACTTTACTTTACTACTCCGTGGCGTTACAACCCTTCGTGGGTTTTAGCCGACTCGACAACATGCCTCCACTGTTTTCTGTCTTGAGCAACCTCCATCCAATTCTCTACGCCCATAGTGCTTAGGTCTACTGCTATATTATCTCGCCACCGAAGACGAGGGCGTCCGCGTGGTCTCCTTCCAGTTGGGACTTCCTCCCACACCAGTCTTACTGTTTGTTCGTCAGAATGTCTTCTGAGGTGTCCTGCCCATTGGAGTCTTCTGGACTTTATTTCTTTTATGATGTTGGCGTCTGGGTAAAGTTCTTCAAGCTCTTTATTAGTTCTTATCCTATATTGTCCTGATGCTTCATCAAGCACCGGACCAAAGATCTTCCTTAGGATTTTTCTTTCCCAAACACGTAGTCTCTCTTCATTTGCCTTTGTTATCGTCCATGTTTCGCTTCCATACATCACAACGGGTCGTATGATTGTTTTATAGACCTGTATCTTCGTACGTCGTGTTAGTTGTTTTGATTTTATAAGGTTTTGGAGGGCAAAAATACATCTGTTGCCGGCCTGAATCCTGTTGTTTATTTCTTGTGATCCGTTATTGTCTTCAGTTATTGTTGTTCCAAGATACTTGAATTCTCTAACGCGCTCAAAGTTAAAGTCATCGATTACATCGATGACATTTAACTTATCTGCAAAGATTAAATTTCTTTTCTATATATATATATATATATATATATATATATATATATATATATATATATATATATATATATATATATATGGAGGATTTCATTGTAAACAAGTTAGTCTAAAATTAATATCGAGTCAAGTTTTGAAATGTAAAGCGCGTATTGTCGGGAATATAAATTGTAATAAATTTTGTAAACAAATTATATAATTATGGTGTAAAATAAATTAGTGTAATATTGTATAAATAAAGACTCTAATAAACTAAGTGTTAGAACATTTTATAATAAATAAATACAGTTAATAAATTAGACTTATAAATACAGTTCAATACTTTAACATCAGCGGTAACCTGCGAACACGCGGAAGTTTTTCGAGTTTTACACAGTACCATGTATTGAATACATATTTTTGAGGGTAGAAACTGTAACTACTTACAAAATTAGTTTATCGGGAGAAAATATAGAGGTCATTGTATGAATGTGCTAAGTGTTGCGAAAACGGAACGCTGGACATAGATGGGTTAATTAATGTTTTTTTACAGCAAGTCCTTGTTACGCCAGTGATTGACGATTATTCGAGTTGCGTTCTAACAGAGTTCGATAAAAATCCATGATGTTCTGATCTACCTTTGAAACATTGCAGCGGATTATATGCATAAGAGCGATTACAATCTAAAAAGTCAGTCGAAAATATTAAATCTAGTGATATAAAGTCAGTTGAAAATATAAATATGTACAGTTAAGGAAATTAGGAAAATAAATTTTATAAACTAATTGTGTTTTAGCGTTAACATGACAAGACTTATAAATAAATTAAAATAAACAATACAGTGTATAAATAATGCGATAAAACTTGAATAAAATAATTTAGAACTTGTAGTGAATTATATCAAAGTCGTCTACAGTAGTACTAGGTACATTATGGATATCACTCGATAAGGCTAACATATAATTCCAAGTCCATACAAGCTTCCCGACTATTATATAAAATAAAGATAAAAAAAAATTATTTTTGTTTATTATACAAACATTAGTAGAGTAAACATCACTTAACAATATGAAAAGATTTCTTTCTTTGATTTTTTTTCTCTTTGTTCGCTAGGTATTCTATTCTTGTGGACGTTGATTTTAATTCCAAAATAAGTTTAACTTTTTGGACCAAATCTATAGCAACGTTGTGATTACTTTCAAAGTCATAATGCTTATAGGATGTGCTCTGAGAAGGAGAGTAGTTTGTGG